CTTCTCCACATAGAACTCCCCTATGACCCAGCAATCCTACTTTTGGGCATTTATCCAAATGTTTACAAACAAGACCACACTAAAGCTACCAGCCCGACTATGTTTATTGCAGCACTATTTACCATAGCTAAGATGTGGAACCAACCCAGATGCCCCTCAGTAGATGAATGGATCAAGAAAATGTGGTATACATACACAATGGAATTCTATGCCTCCATCAGAAAGAATGACATTGCCCCATTTGTGAGGAAATGGAAAGACTTGGAAAAATTATATTAAGTGAAGTAATCCAGGCCCAAAGAAACATAGATCTCATGGTCTCCCTTATTTGCAGTATTAAGTATATGTCTGAGTCAAGCAGAAAAGGTCAGATAAGGTGACGTTAGGGAAATGAACGCTAAGATATGTATTCAAATTTTTTTCTTTAATGTGATTGTTTCTAACACATTTATAAGATTATTTCTTTGTTGCTTTGCATGTCCCTCCCCCATAGTATAACCACTGCTTTCATTGTATTTCGTGTCGGTATAATTTGTGGAGGGGAAGGGGAAAAACAAATCGTTTAAATAGGGATACAGGTGGACCCATTGCAACAATGATATGTACAAGTTGTTATGACCAAAACGAACTTTACAACTTTGGTGGGGGGGAGGAGGGTTGGGTGGAAGGGGAGGATGGGAAGGGATGGGAAGGGGAAACAAAGGAGGAGGCTACAATGCTTGATAAGAAATGTACTCATTATCTTGCCCATGTAATTGTAACCCCTCTGTACAGTATTTTCACAATAAAAAAATACATTTTTTAAAAAAAGAATAGGGGAAAAAAAGGCCATCTGCAGTCCTTCATTCTGTGAAGGTTCTCAATGTACTCGTGGTTGGTGTAAGAGAGTGATTGTCTCTGAAACTCCTGTCCTTTCTTGCTCACAGGTGAGGTGGCAGGAACAGGACAGTCTAGAATGGGGCTGAATTTGTTGTTTCCATTCTTTTGTTGCTATTAGCAAAATAATTTTGTCTAAAGGGCTGGATGATGGTAAGTTTAGTATCCACACTAGAAATGGTGGAGGGTGATGGAGAGGAAAGTTTAAAGCTGACATAGACCTGGGATAGACTTACCTTTATACCCAGCAGCACTGGGACCTGCCCTGCAGGATCCAGGAGTCTCTGTCACTTTTAAGTCCCAAGATAGAAATTCCCCAGAGCTAGATTCCTGGAACTTCTGGGAAAGGCTATGCATTGTCTTCTTTTGAAAAAATTTAGCTCTGCATGCCACAATATTTGACTTGCTGGAAGCATGGAAGGAAATACCACGGGGTGTGTTCAAACTGTTGTCAATGATGCCAAATCTCTCTGCTTCATTTGGCTAGATTTTTCATACAATAACAAGTGCATGTTGTTGGATTGGCATACACAGTGCCAGGGATTTGACCTTCACTGATTTCCAAAATTTCTTGCTCCAATGTACTTCCAGGGCACCCTTGAGTTGTTTCTGACACTGAGATACACTTCTTGCATGTGAGTCAGAATGATACCCTGAACCAATATGTGGAACCTCCTGAGTCATTGGACAGATGGTCTTTGGACTGTGTCCCTGTTCCTTCCCTACTTTCTCCTCTAGCAGACATATCTCTGTACTCTTCTCATTAGAGCTTTCAAGTCAGCTTGATTCAAAGTTTGGATGTTTGCTCTTCTGATGTTTAAAGGAGGAAATCCATGAGAGCCCCTCACTGCTCTTAGACTCAGAGCTCTGGGGAATTTCTATCTTAGGACTTATAAATGGCAGTGACTCCTGGATCCTGCAAGGAAGGTCCCAGTGCTTCTGGATGAGCCTCTTTCGAAGGTGATGCTGTAGTTTTTGCTGCAGGTCACTGGTGAGGGGCAAATCACCAGGAAGGATGGAGACAATAACTTTAGCCTGGAGTTGGGAGTCAGACCAAGTGTCAGCGAAAATTGTTCTTGAGGGCACTCACCATGTGTAACTAAAGCAGTCAGGACACAAAGTCACTATTCATTCCTTCTGCCTGGAACCCTCAGCACAAGGAGGTAACCTGTCAGTTTCAGATGGAAACCTTAGTCTTACATGAACTCCAATCTGTCAGGCATCATGCCTTACAATAGTGATCTTGCTTCATCTGCTTCAATTTTCTATGTTAGATGTCTCTGTGAAACAATCAGATTCACTCTTTTTTTATTGTAAAGGTGATGTACAGAAGGGTTATAGTTACATAAGTAAGGAAATGAGTACAATTCAGATTCACTTATTCTATCAGATAGAAACTGTTGGATGGCTTTAGCCCCAGAGCTGATTTTTCTCTTATATACCAAATTCTCAGTGGGCCCTTCCCACCTCAACCCTAGTTTTAATCCTCCCTCCTCCCATGAGTACATCATACTCAGGAAACAGAACTCTTTCTCCAACAAGATCATGGGGTTTCTCCCATACTCCCTTACCTAAAGCACCCAGAAGGCTGTACTTGGTGTCAATATCTAAGAGACATGAGCCAAAGTTCAACCATGGCTTCAAGCAGCTATTCAGAAAAGAGAATATTCTCCATGATCTGAAATACATGAGTGCCAAAGGCAACTGAGTCCTGAGGGGGCATAGCTTTGACTATAATCCCAGACCTGTATCACAGAGCATGGCCAAGTTATAGGTTTCTGGGGCATTCAGATGAGGTTGTGCCGATACCCCCATTCTAACCAGCCAGACAGCAGAGCTCTTTACCTAACTCTGCTGCTCCATTTTCCAGCTCTACCCTTTCTTTTTATTTTTCTTTATTTACACAGAAGAGCTTTCCTATTTGTTCATCTGTGACCAAGGTATTACTGTTCAGAGACCATGTATGCTACTGCTTTTAAAGTCTTGCATGCAATTTTTGCTTCTCTCTCAACATTAACACTCTGTTCAAATCCATGTCTATACTTTCCCCCCTTTCATTAACATATAAAAACGTTAAATTTCTTTTTCATTCCTGCCAAATTGTAAACTTTTGTGTTTCAGTGAGCCTTTAATATCTTTAATCAGAAGAAATAACTAGAATTATAAAACAAGAATAGACAAATATTTATAGTTATAATTTTAAGCAGCTTTCTTTTTGTGTGTGTATATGAGAGAGAGAGCGCGAGTGAGCGAGAGAGAAAGAGAGAGAGAGCGCCTGCATGTGTCTGTGTGTTTGTGCCCAGTACTGAGGCTTGAACTCAGGACCTACGTGCTGTCCATGGGCTTTTTCTTTCATAGTTGGTGTTCTACAACTTGAGCCATTTTAGCTCCACTTTTGGCTCTTTGGTGGTTAATTAGAAATAAGCGTCTCACAGATTTTCCTGCCTGGGTGATTTTGAATGGAGATTCTCTGATCTCAGCTTCTTGAGTTGCACCTAGGAACTTTAAGCATTCTTGGATGTAAACTTTTACCATTTGTTTTTCTGAAGCTAATGAAGCTTAAACTACTGATTTTTAGCTATATACCTCATAAACACACACTCTCATTCACGTGCATCCTCTGACAAATTTTTACATAAAAGTATCACGCTATTGCCTGTTTTATCCTTTAAAAATGTATCTTGGGGGGAGGAGGTTGGGAAGGTGGCTCAGTGGTAGAGCGCTTGCCTTGCATGTATGCGACCCAGGGTTCAATTCCTCAGCACTACATAAACAGAAAGAGCCGGAAGTGGCTCTGTGGCTCAAGTGTAGAGAGCTAGCCTTGAGCTGAAGAGCTGAGGGACAGCGCCCAGGCCCAGAGTTCAGGCCCCACGACTGACCAAAAAAAGAAAAAGTGTATCTTGGAATGTATGAGTACCAAAGTTTTCCTTGTTCTTAAAAAATTGTGGCTAAATTTTGGCATAGCTGCGCGGGTGTAGGTGGGTATGCAAAGTGATATTATGCATATTCTGCAGTCATGCAATAGTCAATTTTAACCCTTAATCATTGGACATCCATCCACCCATTATCCATTTAATTCATCATATATTTATGGATCCCCTAACATGAGTCACGCTGGGCTCAGGGAGGGAGTGCACAGAATAAATGGACAATCCCTCCACCTACCTGACAGGGAGGAGCCATATGCTGTGCTTTGGGGTTTTGTTTGTTTGTTTTGCGCGCGGTGTGCTGTTCCTGGTTGTTCCGGGTTCTGTGGGCGGCTCAGGTTTTGCGGTTCGCCCCTGGCAAGGGCCCCGAGTGGAGCGCGAGCTGGCAAAAGGCGAGTGCTCGCTGGCAGGAGGGTGTCCGGAGGCTCAGCAAGCAGACAACGGAGTGGTGGGTTCCTTTGGGCAGCTGTGTGTCCCCGTGCTGCGAGTCGCCCACCCCAGACCCTAGAGACCCTTTCCTCCAGTCGCAGCAGAGCGGAGCGGTAGCCCAACCTGGCCTTGGCCGCATAGGGCCCCCGTAAGACTGGTGGAGGGAAGCGGCTAGGGGATGACCCTTAGCTAGGTCTAATTCGCAGCGAGCACTACAACTGCGGAGACGAACTCCATTAGGAAACGAGTGCTGCCACCAGGACCCGGTGTAGCACAATGAAGCGCTCTAAGGAGCGGAGCTCCGGGATCGGAGGGCGGGGCTGGCTGCAGGGCCAAAGCCCTTTAAATTCCAGCGCGCGGGAACCTCGGCCCAACAGCCACAGCGGACGGGGCGGGGCCGAGTGGGGCGCGCGCCACCGCCGGCCAACGACCGCTTCTCCAATCAACAACTTCTCTGGCCCCTTCTCGGCCTCCCCCCGAAGTCCCAAGCTGGGGCGTGGCTCCAGGCGGGTGTGCCTGGGCCAGCATAGACTGCTTGCGTTCCCTAGTAGTTTCGAACACAGTTGGCTCCCGAGGCAGGGGATGGGGGGGAAGAGGCAGCCAATCGTAAGTCTGTAAGGACCCGCGCGCAGGCACGGCCCCGCCCCTTTCGACTAGCAAGCGGTCCAGGCCTAGCCATTGGCTCACTCGACCTGTCACTCTCCGCTGTGGCCAGCGGGCTGTGACCTCGCCGTGATTGGCTCCGCCCAGGCGCGAAATGTAACGCGGGAAAAGTCGGAGCTGGGACCGCCGTGGCAGGTTGTTATTTTCGGGCGCCCGGTGCCGCACGTCCTGTTTTCCAGTCACCGCCCGGACCAGGCCGTCCGCTGCTTCCCGCCACTGCAACCTGCCTAAGGGAGTACAAAGAGCGGAGGGAGGGCTTGACCCAGGGTTGGGGTTCAACCCTGCCCGCTGGGAGCCGGCAGTGCCGCGTCCCTCAGCTTCTTTGGTATTCTGCTGCGCAAGATTCCGGGAAACGTCCGCCTGCCATGAGCCGGCTGGCCTGAGTTGGAGATCTAGGGCAGCGCGGGCCGGCGAGCTTGGGGTAAACCGGGACTCAAGGAGTGCAGCCCGAGGCTGCCGGAACTGCGGATCAGGACCGGGTGATGATACGGGGCGTGGAGGCGCCGATGGGGGACAACCCGCCACCGCCGGTCATCTTCTGCCACGACTCTCCAAAGCGGGTGCTGGTGTCTGTCATCAGGACGACCCCGATGAAGCCAGCGTGCGGCGGCGGAGGGGAGCCGGAGCCACCGCCGCCGCTCATTCCCACCAGCCCCGGCTTCAGTGACTTTATGGTGTACCCGTGGCGCTGGGGCGAGAACGCGCACAACGTGACGCTCAGCCCCGGGGCCGCCGGGGGCGCCGCCTCGGCCTCCCTGCCGGTTGTAGCGGAGCACCCGGGGTTGCGGGGCCGGGCCGCGCCCCCGCCCGCTGCCTCGGTCGCCGCCGCCTCGGGAGGTGAGGACGAGGAAGAAGCGAGCAGCCCGGACAGCGGCCACTTGAAGGTGAGCAGCGCGGGTGGATGGGGCGCGGGGCCTCTGGGGCCCGTTAACGGCGCAGCCCGGCAGCCAGCTGCCCCCGCCGACGCGCTGGGCAGGGCGGGGCCGAGTTTAAAATGCGAGGTTGTTCTGGCCGCGGCGAGGGCAGCGGCTGACAGGACGCTGACGTCACTGTCGCGCGCCAAAACCGGCCCCCGGGGGGGGGGGGGGGGGGGGGGGGGGGGGAATCACGCGTCAGACTGGCGGCCAGAGTTCCCAGCGGCGCCTGGCTAGCAGGTGCAATGGGCGGGAGCGCACTCTCGGGGCACCGGGGAGCCCAAATTTAACCGCCTCTGCCGTCGGCTTGGCTACTGCTGCACCGCCTGGCCGGTGAGGGAAGTCGGTGGAGTGGAGACGTTGTGCGGGTTCCTTGGAGTGCGGGAAGGGAGGGGACGCTCAGTGTCTTTCCAGTCACGTTATGAAGCTCCCGGTTACAGCTACAGCTGCCTGGCAGAGACAGCCAAAGAGCAAAGAGGGGCGTTGGGGCGTCTTCCCTAGCGAAAATGGGGTCTACTGCCCTTCATTCGTACGCACACTGCTAAGTGAGGAAAGCGCACCCAGAGGTGCAGCACTTGTTTCCTACAACCCTGAATTACTCCGGAAGGACGTGACCATCAGGTTAAAACCTGTGCTTTACAGATCAGGCACCTCTGGCTTACAGATGCTAATAAAGTGACCTTCCTGCGATCACACAGCAAATGGACTGTTGGTCACGGTTTCAGGGCCCCTAGCCCTGCACTGTGTCTGCGCTGAATTCAGCTCTGTTTCGGAGGCAGGGCCAAGGGCCATTTGCATATTTATAACATCGTTTACGGACATGGACATATAAAGTTACCAGTACCGACAGATGAGCTACCAGTGGGAGAAACATTATGCTTCCCACCTGTAAACCTCCAGGAATACTGAAACCATTTTGTCTGTCACGATTGGACTAAAGTACTTTACATTCTGTAAATACTGAATAAACATATTCCATAAGAATTCTCTTGATGAGTTAGCGGTGCTGTTGTAAGGTTAATAACTAGGTTGCCGTTATTAAGTGGCTATGTAAGCATTTGTTCATCTTAAGTGCCAACAAGTCACCTAGTGGACTAGTGAATATGTATTGGTATGTACTGTATAAATTGAAGTAAGTTTGGTCGTTTCACTTAAAGCAACAAGATTGTTGAAACTCCATGTTGTTTGGGTTGAGAAAATTGATACACTGTGTTACTAGTGTAAAGAACTATAAAGTAACATAACTGCTTTGACACACTTCAAGTCTTCAGACTGAAAGGCAGTAGGAGTCATAATATTGGGTGTTAGTGAAGAAGACAATTGTTCCTGGCTATAAGTGGCCAAGAATGCGCCGTAGGTACTTTAGGAAACTGGATAATTTGCATGTTTTGGCCCTTTTATTATATTGTTAAGCAATATGGAGGTGTACATGCACAAATACTTATTAGATTTTGTATTTGTGTATTCTTTATTTTAACTGCATCTAATTTGAATTATCCAAGAAGTATAATGTTATAGATAAGTAAAATCTATAGGTACATTCTTTGTGGCTTCACACAAATCTTTTATAAATGTTGTTAGCACAATGTATAGGTTTGAATTTTATTTCTATTGTCCAACTCTTTCAGAGGTAAAATATTCCAGATGTTACAGAGAACTTGTAGAATGAAAGGCTATTTATATTTATTCTCCTTTTCACAGGTGTCAGGTGGCATAGTAGCTGCCGTTTACTGTCTGGCATGGAGTAAGCACTTCATAATGTTAGCAGCAAACTATTGCATGGCTCTGTGTTGGGTATTTTTGACATTTCAAATTCATTTAATCTTGTTTGCATGATGAGGAAGGAGAGAGTAGAGAAGAGTTTAAGATTAAGATTTACAGTCTTTCATACTGTAACTTTCATAAA